GCTTCTATTAAGAAACTTATGATATGGAGAAGAATAGGCTATTTAAGCCTATAGGTATTGAGTCAAAACTCCGGCGTGATCTGGTCAGGATCCTGACTCCGGACCTTACCGACAGGAAATCATGTAGGATTTCTGTCTTAATACCAAAACGACACGATGATAAATTGCGCAAGTTTAGGATTATAAGATAGCCTACATTGAAACCAGTATGCCCAATTGAAGAGGTTTCAGAGGTAACAATACCTGTGATCAGCACGACGATCGGAAGAAAGTAATACACTTATCATCATTTCCTCTCAATCCCGAAACAACCGCGTTCCTGGAAAAATGACTTAATTTTCCAATTCAACATAACAGAAGCCTTCTAGGAGACATCCTGGTTGAGGTTGTCAATATCTCCGACAAGTTCCCTGAGGAGACTAAATGGGAAATGGAGATGGAATTAATTCCAAAGATCTTGATACATCAAGAACTAATACACAGGAACAGAATTGCCAAGATACTCAAGACTATGGAAACGAATGAACAATTAGTTCTTCAGGCAGATACTGGAAGAGCGTCAGTGTTAATGAACAAAATATAATAAACCGAGAAGATGGCATATATTCTACAAGAGAGAACTACATATCGTAAAGTAAAGAAGGACCCAACTATGAAAATCAATGGAATCTTAAGCGACATCCTGAAAGACAGGCATAGGAACGGGGAAATTGACGCATTGACAAGAAATTTAATCATAATAAGGGATTCACGACAATCAGCAACCTACGGATCACCGAAAATACACAAAGAAGGCGAACCACTAAGGCTGAAAGCCAGCAACAAGCATGAAGTAACGCACAAATTGGCAAAGTTCATATGTTTAAAACTCAAGCTATTAAAAGACGGGTTATCAAGCACGGTGAAGCATTCATAAGAATTGTCTCAAAAAAGCAAAAACATGGTACTGGAAGAAACAGACTTATTGGTAAGTTTTGATGTGGAAAATATGTATACCAATATCTCTAACGGCCATGCTAGAAATCTTGGACCGAGAGGAGGAAAGCTTGCAATCACAACGGATCATGAGGGAGTCGTTAACACGAGTAATCACTTTGACTATAAGGACAACCTATTTTACACTCAACCGGAACATCTATGAACAAATATTTGGACTTCCCATGGGATCGCCGCTCTCATCACTTTTGGAAAACATATACATGAATAAAATAGAAGAGAACTTTAAGATGTCACCGCTACAACCAGTAGTGCTCATGCAGTACCTGAATGATTACTTCGCTCTTAGGCACATGGAAGAGGATAACTGGAACATTTTCTGAAGTTTATAAGCCAGATTGATGAAACGATTAATTTCAAGATGAAACTAGAGGAAGGTGAGCGGTTAACTTTCTTGGATGTTGAAGTGATTTGCTCTAATGGAACGCTCATAAAGAAATTATGCCGAGATAATACTCAATTTCTAGTCCAATCACAATTACAGGCTATATATAGGAATAATAGGGAGCAAGATCACCTACGTTTAACGGATGTGGAATTCTGGAATAAAGAATTGGACAAATTGAATAAGATATATCTCGGCAACGGCTACCGAAGCGAAGTAATACAAAGAAACATACGGGCCGTGAAAAGCCAATATCAGAACGGGGACCAAGAAAGAACTGTAAGGACGGAGAAGGATTCACAAAAGTGGATATGCCTAGCTTCTTACGAGCTAACTCAAAAACTACGGACAATATTAAGGAAATGGAATATTCGGATAGCCATGAAGGAAAAAAGACACTTTTCACAATTATACCGACACAAAACGAAGGGGTAGACAAATTGGATTGTCCAGGAGTTTACTGTATATTATGCGGCGCTCGGCAGAAAAATGGATACCGAAAGATTAGAACTAGCGGAACACATCACAGAGACTGGACACGAGATCAATTGGAAGGCAACAGAAAGAAGGGCCTCATACGGTGATAACACAAGGAAGCGGAAGATAAGGGAGGCCATTGACATCTTTGGGGAGAAAAATCGAATAAACATGAGATTGGAGGAAGGTAGAGTTAGCGATAACTTTGCCTACTGCATAAGCAAAATTGGGGAAAACAATAGATCAAGACCAACAAAAAGGAGACGCCTGGATCAAGGATCTATCGCTAACCGGAGGAAAAGGGATCGCGATGAGAAAAGGGGGGAGGAGAAGAGATCCGTGAGTGATGTCTGTTCGAAGAAACCCTTGCAACTTTGAGGACCTGGCCATCAAGGAACCAGGTAGACGGATAAGTACAACGTGATGATGTCACACTAAATTTGTCAAAAAAGGGTACACATTTTCATGAGTGGAATGTAAACAAGTCAGACGTTGTGATAGGGCGGGAGTTGGATAAGAGGGTAAAGAGTGGATAAATGGGCCAGGAGGGAAAGAGGGGTGATAGTATAACCGTTTTCAGCAGAACGTTGGTCGATGGATTGACTTCATTTGTCTCTTTAGCGAGTTTGTAGCTTGGTGCTGAGAATGACAGGACTCACTGATGATTCCGACTACGATGCCGGCGAAACGTATAAGAATATACCAAGTCCACGATCTGATGCTAAGAATTATGATAACTACTATGGCAGAGAACTAAGTCGTCCTGACAACCAAACCAAGTTGCGAAAACGAGGTCAACTCACTTATATAAATCGAAAGGAGACTGAGCCCATACTTAGGGCCACACAATCTTGGTTTACATATCTTTGCTAAACTTTTGTCTGTCATATGACACAAAGAAGCAAAGCCGGATGATTGATGCGAGCCCTCACCATATCCGCTATGGAGATATAATATTTATTAGCTTAAGAATATAATCTGATGACTCTCAAGTTAAAAAGGTTCTGAATGAAATTTCTCATTACTGGGAAATAGGATATTTTAGAAAAGGCATTATCCCTAAAATATTGGCTATATTTCCATCATTCTTGCATATATTAAAACACTAATTGATGCCATTAGTGACGACTTATAAAATTAAGTGAATGAATAACAATGTGAAAATGTCAACCCAACTGCCTACTATAAAATATCCAGTATCGAGAGTTTATGGGCAGCAAATAACACGTACACGAAATGATTAAACATGGGCTGGACAAGTTTTCCATTTATTTTCTATCAGCCTGGGGCATGAATGCACATATGCATATCCATATAAATAAATTAACACAAATTTTTAAATGCTTGCTAACGATTTAGCCTGAATAAAAGCCGAGCATACTTTTCGTTTAACATAACTCGTCCAGATAGCACACGTAAACTCAAACACGCATGCACCTACATACTTGTTCATGACTAAATATTTGGTTTTTTCACCCATTTTTAGGCAGCCCAAAAAAGCCTTCTCTACGAAAGCGTGAGTATCTTTTTCAAATAATTCCAAACAGTGATGATTGAGAGAAATCCCTTCTGTCTGGTCGAAACAACGAGGTAAGACTAAGAAACCGGGAAAAACGGAATGTGATGAGGGAGGGGAAAACACAACACTGGCATAGCAATGAGGAGGGATCCTGGACACAAAGACTGAGAGATGAGGAGAGAAGGGAATAGAGGCAAGAAATAGGTAAGGGGAGAGCTAACCTCAAGCGAATTGTATCCTGCGCCGGGCGCTTTCTCTGAGAGGACCCAGCTGGTGAAATGAACACTTAAGTCTGGAAAATTTTGCTCCGCCGCTTGAAGTCAGATGGAGAGGGATAAATAGAAGTGAGACGTAGAGACAGGAGATGGAAGCAAGATGTGAGGAGACAAATCGAGCAATTCATACTGTATGACTTAGCTTGAAAGAGATGCATAGGCCGAATGGTTCGCGGCGCTGGAAGTCATGGAAATAGTGAGCAGGAGACCAACTGAGACCTCAGACCTTGGTAGCAAGTCCTCAGACGTAATTAAACAGTTCATTTGCCCGTCCTTGTGCCCGGGACAACTGAGTTATGAATGACTGTATCGTTGATACGTCGACGACTCAGCGCTTTCACTAAACACCTTTCGATTATCACCAAAGACGGTGAAAAGAGTTCTCGACACAACCGGCACACATGAAAACGGCTAAACGATAGAAATGGCCCAGTATGCTTATTGTGAAGACTATCATTTCATATATAAGTGTGTCTAATGAAGAGATTCATAGGTCGCAAGGTTATGCAGCCGTTTGGCTTCACTACGACGTTAAGGTTGACGCAGTCCACGAGACATACTCCTCGGTCTAATAGACAAACTAAGAGTCATCGAAGGTAGGTGATGTTCTTCTTTCGCTGTATAGAAGTGGTTTGGTCTTATTTTTGCAATTTGAACGGATTGTCTAAAGGGTCTTGTCGACAGTCCTATGCCAGAATTGTCGTGATAATTTTCAGCGGTGGATTGTAGACTTGGTACTTTCCCAAGTACCCTTTCTATACCTTATACCTCCGACGGCATACTTCATTTCATTCACTAATCAACTGTGGGTGTCCAATCTCAAGCTTAAAAGTTGATATCCTTTAACGCGGTAACGCCACATGGCATGTGGCATTTATTTTTCGTATTTTTAAGTAGAGTTTCGAGACTACCAGTAAATCAGTAATATGAGATGTATTCACCCAATTTTGTTTAAGGTGATGAAGGAATGGTAATATAATTTTCCCACAATGATATGAGTAGAGCTGATGTTTTCATTTAATTTCGCATAGCCTTGATTTCCCACCCTGGATGAGAACAACTTTTGGGAAAGTAAGACTATGTGAAATTCAATGGAAACGTTAGCTCTGCTCATATCATTGTGGGAAACTTATATTACTAGTCCTTCATCACCTTAAACGAAATTGGGTGAATACATCTCATATGTGGTATTTATGACTCAACCTCCTTCACCCACTATACTCATCTATCATCCCTTATCTCGAAGGTAAAAAACGTCCAATTTTTCTCCATACCAGTGTTTAATTTATGTACGCTTGTAGTCAAACAAAGAAGATTGCGACCATACCAGAGGCTACAAAATCTTGGTCTTCATATCTTCAAAGAAACATACTATTAATGTTTCATCCATTAAGCTCGGTGGCTCATTCCTTTCAAATTGAATAAATTCTGCCACTACTATGGTACTACTTATAAGAAATCGTAATTTGAATAGGTAAATGGCTTATAATTATCAGACTTAACAAAGTGAAAAAAAGTGAGCAAGTATCCTATCTATGTACATAATCATTGACCAGTGAAGT